TGTCTGTAGCACCAGCTTTAAGCAAGTAGCTCAAGGTTATTCCAGCCTGAGGCCAAGTTGACCTGGGCCCGGGCTAGGGAGCCGGCCGCCCTGGCTGGAAACCGGACCTGCCGCCAAGCCAAGTTAAGTGGTTTTTAATGGATTCTTGTCACGTTGGGCGCCAAATGTAGATATAACCAGCTGTCTTATTAAATAAGAAACACAGAGCCGATTCAGAGAAGAAAGCCAAGAGGTCAGAGCTAAGAGCCTCACCCTTCCTGATTCAGCGATCCTCTTCAGCCAAGAGAGCTCTCTGAAAAGGGGCCTACTTCCTGTGTGTATGTGTTTATATAGTCTAGCTGTTCTGCCTTCTCATTGGTTGTAAACCCAAACACGTGACTGCCTCATCAGTGCCTGAATGTACCGCCCTCCAGGTCCTTAAAGGCGTGTGCCACCGCCGCCATGCACTTGCTATGGCTCTAATAGCTCTGACCCCCAGACAACTTTATTTATTAACATACAATTAAAATCACATTTCAGTACAAGTAAAATACCACCACAGTAGGTAGACTGCCTGGCAAGGAGGGAACAGAGAGCCGCTGGCCTGGCACTGACTTAACCCCAAGTTTCTAGGAGCAGTGATATGTTTTAGAGTTGGTGGTCATGAACACACGTTTTCTCTCACTCAAAAGCGTGTGTGAGTTGCCGTATGCCTAGGCAAGAAGATTCCACTCCCCTGTTTATCCACATGTGCTGAGGGAATCAAGAGCCTATGGAGGGTCCTTCCAAAGGCAAAAGCCACAGGTTCTCTTCTCCTTTGCCCCTTGGAGAAAAGGGAGCAATGTCTTACAGGGTCCATGTTCCAGGCAAAGGAGTCTGTAAGCATGTGTGAGGCATTATTCAGGATCAGACCTTTTGTAAGCAATGCATTTTTATGATTAAACCTTTGGGTAAAGCTTATTTGTTCCAAATGGGCTTTTAGCTGAGTGTGTTCATCTGAGTGTGGGGTAAACGCCTTAAAATACAGGTTGGTTGTAAATAATCCACAGAGAAACTGAGTTAGAATTCATTTTATAAAATAAGGACTGCCCGAGTTGTAGGCTTTCCAGCCCACAGAATCATGAGAAAGAATTATCTTTCTGCAGCTGTGAAAAAGGAAAACTAACATCCTGTCTGGGGAACCCCAACCACATTACCCAAAGGCCAATTTCATGTCATGGAAGCGAATCAGAGGACTGAATTTGGAGAAAGTCTATAAATTCTAGATCACACAGGAAATGATTCCACACTATTATTGAGTGAATATAGTAAGAAATTATGATCCTTGAGTAAACAACCAGAAAAGTCTAAGTGCATTTGTCTAAGCTGCAAACGGTCATGTGGATCAAATTACTAATAGTTTAGTTCATGAATGTACAATAATATGTGCTTCAACTCATGCCAATTGATAATCTTCAGAGATGTCTGAGTGACTTTTGGTCCCAACATTAATCCATAAGGTCATTAGGGAATTAAACAATATGACTAGTCTGGGAAAATGTTGAATCACTGTCGGGCAGCCATTAACCTTTCATATCAGCTCAGTTTCCCAAATATACTGATCATTTCAAACGAGGACAGGAGTCAGGGCAGCCAACTTATTTTAAGGACCAAGTAGCAAATATTTCAGGCGTTGCAAGTCTGTCCTCTTACAAGCAAGGAGCCAGTGAATGTCCTAATGGCTATATCCACGCTAGTGAATGTCTGTGACTATGCTCCAGTACAACTTTATCTGTCAAAATAGTTAACTTGCCCCTGGGCTATAATTTCATGCCTAGCCCTGAATGACTGTATCAATGCAGGAAGATTTGACATTCTTGGAGAAAAATTAGCTCTTTGGAGGTCCACAGCAGACTTCTCTGACACTGTAGTTTGAGGGCATCTTTGACACTGGCCAATAGACAGTGTCCTTTAATATTTATAAATACTGCATGAAGAAGCCTGGGTGAGGGCTACCTGCTTTTGTCAGAGGCCAGACGCCTCATCCCAAAGCAGGCTTGAGGCTGGGATCACGGAGAACTTCTAACTCGAGGTGTAAAACACTTAGAGGAAAGGAATAATTACACTAAGCATATTCTCTTACACACAGCACCTTCTCTTTATATATATTCTCTTTACAGATTCAACTTCAACCAGGTTAATCTCTTCTATCCCCACTAACATCTCTCTCCTCATTCCCTGCCGTAGGCCTTAGTTTTTGTCTCCACTGTTTCTCCCTTTGGAGGACTGATGTTTTGGGTCAAAATCTAATTATTAGGTTGATTGGTTACCTAACATTTGTGAGGGCAATCTCCAATACCACAAACTAGATAGATCGATAGATAGCTAGATAGCAAGGCAGAAAGACAGACAGACATGAGTGTATGTCTGGTGAACATTAGGAAGATGATAAAACTATAAAAATATATGAAACTAAAATTTCTGGGGAAAGTTAACAAAACATATCTAATTTTGATCCTCAACTTTCCCCTCTGAAACTACTAATATTTTGAGGGAGAATGGCATGAACCTCAAACATAGTGAAAGAAGGTATCAAAGACCCAACTTTGAGTGGGCAGAGAAACAAGTGGTACTAGACCTGGCACACTTGAAAAGCCAAGCTGCAAACAGCAGTAAGTCAATACAGGAACAAGTTGAGCACACACTTGAGTGCTAACAGGCTAAGAACTTAGGACACCTCTGGAAGCAGGCTGGAAACCTGACTTGAGAACACTGGCTGAATGAAGGTCAGGTGAGGGTCGTGCGAATTCTTGACCACGCCACGGAACCCCCTACGCATACTACTGGTAGGGGAGTATTGTTCCTCTCACACTATGTCCAAAATCTATAGGCGCAGGCTCCAGAGACGGAGAAACAGATTTTCATCGCACACAGTTGATGGTGGGCACAGAACCTTAAAAACAGGAAAAGCCAGTGACTGAACAGTGACTACTTAGGCTCTTTCCCTCCACTTTAACATCCGGATGAGAGAAATTAAGAGTGCTAGTCACTCTCTTCCCGGTAAAAACATCGTTCAGTAGCACCGTTGGGAAAAGCCAGCTTTACCTTAAACTTGTGATCAGCTGACCTACCAATTGAAGCAGTTGCTGACCAACCAACCAGTTTCTCCACTGTTGAGTCCGCATGGACACAAATGACCACAAAGGCGAGGGAAACCTCTAATCAGAAACAGGGAGGTAGAAATGAGAAAAGCAACCTCAAAGGGTAGTCTACAGGAGAAAAACTTTTAAGAAACTGTACAAGACATGCCAGGCATGGAGCTGCATGCCTTGTTCATCCTAGAATGTGGGAGACTGAGGCAGAATCAAGAATTCTAGGCCAGTCTGGGATATGCAGTGATGTTAACCCCCGTGCCCCTAAATAAACCCAGATAGTCCTCTACTTATGACAGCTTGACTTTGGATCTTCTGAACTTAGGGTGGCTAGGAAGCATTATGCACTCCAAAGAAACTGTACTCCGATTTGGAATGTTCAGCTTTCCCAGGCTAATGAGAGTGCATGCCTTTTCAAGACCCTGAGCAGCAGCATGGAGCTGCAGGGCTCAGCCAGCACCACCATCATTGGGTGTGGGTGTGGAACTGACACTCTAGTGAACTCTTCTGTAAGCTGTGATGTCTGATCGCTGGGTGTATGAAGTGTACTTATAACACCTGCAGTAGTATAATGGGTTTATTGGGATGGGAACCTTACCAAACATCTTAGTCCATCTGTAATGGCCTTCCATTTGTGACCGGGATAAACTACCAAGGGTCCTACTTACCTTTCTGCTCTAATCAATTTAAAAAACTGGGCAAAACTGAGAAAACTGATTTTGGATCTTGGAGAACAGGCAGTACAAGTCTGTGACTCCGGAGAGGGCACCCCATCCATACCAAAGTGGATCCTATTCACCTGACTGAGCAGAGACTGGAGTTTAGGCAGTATGGGGCAGTTCTAGAAAGCATGCAACTACAGAGAAAACGTTCCAGAAATCCTTCACAGGCATCCTTCTGTGTCTTTGTCAAACAGTAAGGTGCACATGTGTAGTGTGCAAGCCCATGAGGACAGGGAAAAACAAGAAGGGGTAGGGAACTGAAGGGTTCCTAGATTTCGCACAGGGCATGTAACTCCCAAAACTCCAGCATTCAGAGAACTGGATGTGGTGGTTTATGTCTATAATCCCAGCATTCTGGAGGCTGAAACAGGATGATAGTAGGCTTGGGGACAGCCTGGGCAACACAGACCCTGTTGTGGAACATTTGTTTACACTGTAAAGATGTGTCTCTGCCTAAGGTGCCTTCTGATTGGTTTAATAAAGAGCTAAGAAAAGTATGTCAGAGAGCAAGCTTAACCAAACAGTTCCTCACAAGAACAAGTCTAGCACATCCCTTTCAATGCACTTAACATTTGTGAGATGTGTTGTGGGTCTTTTGTTTCCTTAGTACACTAAGGAATTTCTAATGTTATAGCAATTTTCATTACGATTGAATTTTAAAAATATTTCATTATTTATATATGCGTGGGGGTACACTTACCTGTGTGTACAAGCAGAGGTCAGAAGAGGGGACTGGCACCCTCCATCACTTTTCCTGTTCCTTTGAGGCAGGGTCTCCTCTTGAACCTACCCTCCTATTTTTGCCCTTCTTGGTCCTGGGATTATAGGCGTCTGCAGGGGAACACTTAGTTTGTTTCGTGGGTGCTGGAATCTGAACTCTGGTCCTTACAGTTGTGGAGCAACTGTTATTAACCACGGGGTCATCTCTCCAACCCCCAACCACTGAGCTTTATCAAATGGTTTTTCTACACTTTGAGATCATCATGCTTTAATTTTCTAATGTACACACCTTTAGCAGGTTTTTAAAAATGTCAGCCAATCTTGAATTTCTAGAATAAGCCTATACCGGTCAAAACACACTATTGTCTTGTGTTGCAGGATTAGTTTTCTAATGTTTTCCATCTTTGGCCTGAAGATTGCCTTTGATAAGTTTAAATATATTTTTCAGAATTAAAGATTTATTTATGTGTGTTACTCTGCAAGTGTGTGAAGGAGGCTGTGAAGGCCAGAGGTGAGGCTGTGAGCCACCGTGTACGTGCTGAGAAGCGAAACCAGGTCCTGGATAAGAGCGGTATGTACTCTTGACCAGCCCCTCCTGTTTTTAAAAAAGGAAGTCTCATGTAGCTTAGGATGGCCTTAAACGTTACAGTCAAGGGTGACTCTAATTCTTCTGTCTCTATGTTGCAAGTACTGGATCAGTACACCTAGTGTATATGGCACTAGTAATCAAACCCAGGCAAGTGCCCTATCAACTGTTCTTATTTTCCAGATTTTAAATGTTTTATGATCAATTTCTCTGGCTTATTCACAATATTATTGGCAACTTAAGTTCACATATTTGGTCTTTAGGTTGCTTTAACTACAAACATTCTAGCATGGTGGCAAATTAAAAACCAAGCAGAGCGTTGTTGCCATCTGGTGGAAATGCCTACCATTACTACATTGAAAAAGGTCCTGTGTGACGCCAGCCTTTCCACTCAGGAAATCAGTTCTGCCGATTGCTCACTGGGACTCTCAATCTTGTATCTGATTTCCATTTGCTCACCACTACCTGAGTTCAGCGTCTAACTTTAGTATTTGGCTAAAATCACTGCTCTGATACAGGCCCAGATTCTACTTTATATGCAAACATTTTGGAATGAGTAGTCTGCTAGAGATAAGAATAAAGCAGAAGTCAACAAATACTGGTTGAATTTTAAAAGCACTCCATTCCCTAAAGTTACCTAGGAGGGCTCAAAAGCGTACAAATTGCCAAGCTTTTCCCTGTATGAACAGACTGATAAATGATACTCACACACATTGTCTTGTGGGCTTGCCCAGAAAGTGTGAAACTTAAACCAATGACATTTGGAAGAATAACCACAGGGCTAGGGTGGGAGGACAAAAGTAAACAAACCTGAGATCAAACAGGTCATCCCATGCTGGAGAGTAAGTAATTGCTCTAATGGGACAACATGCCAAGAGATGTGCCTGGCTGGGTCCTGCTCATATATGACTTCTCTGTGTGAAGATTTAGGTTTGAAAATCCCAGTGCTCAGAGAGGCCAGCTTGGTCTACAGGACAGTCAAGGAAGGCTACACAGAGCGACCCTGTCTCAAAAAACAAATCCCAAACCCTAAAACTCCCAAATTGATTACGTTTTTTTTTTTTTTTTTTTTTTGGTCCTGATACATATTATTTGAATTTTGTAATATTCTGTAATCCTTCTGATAAACATAACAAAGCATCCTAGAAAAACACTGAAAAATCTTGTAGATTAAATGAAGACTTTTTCTTCTTTTAAAACTGTCAGGGACAAGGACAGAATCTCTAGTTAGTGGAAAAATACAGACCCCTGATAAGACAGGAAACTAGAACATCTTACGGTCAGGTTGTCTAGCGACAGGACATTGAGCCCTTGACCTTTTCACCCTGTAAACATCCTACACAAACATCCTGTTAGCTCCCCCCACCCTGCAGGAACTATATAAATAATCCTGGAGAAAAATAAAGTTGCACCTTGATCAGAATCTTGTCTTGGTGTATTTTCTTTGTGTCTCCTGTCCCTATCATTCTGTCCTTAGGGTGGTCGAGTTCCCATTGAAGCCCTGCTGGCCGGGGCAACTGGCACCCAACGTGGGACTCGAACCCAGGACCCTGAGATTGAGTCTCATGCTCTACCGACTGAGCTAGCCGGGCAAAATGGAGCAAGGGGTCATCTGGGAGGTGATTATCCAAGGTCCCCATAAACCCTGGCAAGGCAACCCCCCACTTATCTAAGGTTTGTAATATTCTGTAATCCTTCTGATAAACATAACTAACAAAGCATCCTAGAAAAACACTGAAAGATCTTGTAGATTAAATGATGACTTTTCTTCTTTTAAAACAATAAGCAATGTCTACTTTTTCATTATTTATAGTGGTTCCCACATTACAGTAATATGTATTTAAGATCCTACAGCTCGAAACACAATATCCTTTTGGTCTCCTGGTAGGCTGGGGGTTTTAAAGGTAGAAGGCCCAAATCTAAGAAACAATAGAAGAAAAACCTTCATCTGGAACCTCAGAACAGTCTCCTAGAAGTCTACAGTAACATCATTAAGATACACACAAGAGCCAAGATGTTTGTTTTATTGATTTCTTGGGTGGGGGTGGTAGAGAGATTGAGAAAATGTTTGTTTCCTGCTTCAAAGAACATTCCCAAGCAGAAGACATCCATTCTCATGACATACGGACAAACACTGCTCTCCCTGCATTCGTGACAATTTGAGTTTAAGATAATGTTGACAGAATGCATCTCTGAAATACAGTGCACTCATCTGGACCAGTGGGCACTCCACTGGCTCTTGTTCACAGGGGAAAGGAACTGGCACTTAAACATCAAATATAAATCTAAAAAATGCAACTTGTTTGACTTGTGGCAGCACTAGTTACTAAGGAGGAACCATTCAGCAATAATGGTCTCGAATATTCATAGCTAATGAAAATGCATTTAACCAAGGGACTGCTGATTCTAAGAACTGTGGCATTTGTGAGTAAGGGAGGAATTCTAAGTCTGGACGTCAAATTCAGAGAAAAGAATCAGTAATTTCACATTTGCAGTATGTATAAATAAAATACATGGATCAGAAAAGAATCATATGTTAAATAGAAAGTGCATACAGAACTCAGGAATACCCTTTTCATTAATTCTGTGACTTATTCTAGTTCAGTAAAATGCTCACAAGGAAAATAACCACTTAGGGCAGACAACTGGTTATATCATTGTTGTTCAGAGCTTCATGAGAGCAAATGAAGGGATATTGATCAACATCCCTGCTTTAGACTGAATCATTTATCTTGAAACAGGTTATTTCATAAGACGGACCATCCACATTATACCTTGAAAAGTCAAAGCAAAAAGTACAACCATAGAAAGCCAGAGTTCACCAGAACATCTAGACAGAAGTCTGTTTGTAGTTTTTGGTATCCAAAACCTTTTTGCCACACATTGCACAGATGCCTGAAACGAAAGAAAACATGTGAGGAACATAGTACCACCAACTTTTGGTTTCTTTATGTTAATCTAAAGCTTAAAAGCACTTAGCGGGTGTGAAGAGAGGCTCAATGGTTAGGAGCACTTCCTCTGTCATCATGTAAACTAGAGTTTGGGGTTCAATCTTCACATATCCTCACAAATGCCCATAATTCCAGATCCAAGTGGGGTGGAGACAGAGGATCCCTGGGGTTTGCTGCCTTCCAGATCAACTGAGAAAATAGGAGCCCCAGGTTCAGGGAGAGACCCCACCACAAAAAGGAATAGGTTGCCAGGCGGTGGTGGCGCACGCCTTTAATCCCAGCACTCACGAGGCAGAACCAGGCAGATCTCTGTGAGTTCGAGGCCAGCCTGGTCTACAGAGTGAGATACAGGACAGGATCCAAAGCTACACAGAGAAACCCTGTCTCAAAAAACCGGAAAAAAAAAAAAAAAAAAAAAGAATAGGTAGAGAGTGCAGAGGAAGGAGACACATGATGCCCTCTTTTGGCTTTGAGAATCTTTAAGAACTTTAAAGCATTATAAAAGAAAAACATCCTTTGACTACAAATATATTTTAAACTCCGTTTTGTCTTAGAAAAAAGAGTATTTAACTAACAGTTTATGAAAGGCTACTCCTTTCTGTTATCCAAGGCAACAGCAAATCAAGTAGATCTGATGAGACTAGAAAAATTAAGTTAAAGAAACGTACCTTTTTTGTAGGCACAGCCTTGACAGTAATGAGAACCTGGCTGGTGTACAGAACTTTTACAAATTCTGCAAGTGGAGAACTTATTCTTTCCATATGGATCAAACCTAAAAAGTTAAAGAAAGAAAAAAAATATTCATACGACAAGAGAAACTCTTAACCCCTTGTAAGCTACACTCTGATTATGCATTGTCATTTCTCCCATCAAATTCCACAACTGACAGAGCCCTCCGCCGGCTCACTACTGTGTAATATGCCTGCATTACTCTGCCCTTCATGTAAGCTGTAGTTTATGAAGAACCATACATATCAGACCCATTCCTATTACTTGTACGTGCCATTCTATTTGTGCCATAAATATGAAAATTGATGAAATATGAGTATAAGGAATGACTGATTCTACAAAAGAATCTAAGTAACTGCTTTAGGATGACTAAATGTGAACTGTTATAACTACTATTGAACTGGGTTATGGGTAAGCCAACTACCAAAAATATTAAAAATATTGTGTGTGTGTGTGTGCGCGCGCTATTGAGGCCAGAAGGGTTTGGGTCCTTCAGAGATTGGGTCACAGGTGGTTTTGAGGTGTTAATGCAGGTGCTGAGAACTGAACTGAGGTCATCTCCCAGTTCCAGTCCCCTCCCTTGCTTTTTTTTTTTTTGGTGGTAAAGCCAGGCTGGACACCCTGAACTCCTATTCTTTTGTCCCAGCACTTGAGTACTGGGTCACAGGCATGTACCATCATACCTGGCTTAGCTTTTGTTCCACTACAGTATAGAATATATGCTGGTGATGGTTTATAAGAGGAAAATTATATAAAACTCTCATCCAGCTTTACCTCAATACCCAGTGATAGACAAATACATTCAGTTTATGTTTTAAGATAAAATATGTTATGTACATCTCCTAATGACTACATAACAAGCATTTTTAATTGACTGGCCTAATCCCTTTGAATAAAGGGGTTTCTACTATATAAACATGGCATCCTATAGGAACCACAGGGCAAATAACTTTAAAATAGTTCTCCCAAAAGTGGCAATAATGCTCTAATTTAAAACTGTTTGCCTAGCTCCAAAGTAACTATTTATACTTTCTCCGGGTAGCATCACAGTTCTGGTATCCTGTCTGAGGCACAGCATAGAAGCTTCTTTTCTGTTTGACATTTTTTGCCTTCATTCATTTATTTTTATGTGTATGGGTATCTTGCCTGCATATATGTCTGTGTACCATGTGTGCTGTGCCTGTGGGAGCCAGAAGAACACCAGATCTCCTACTGGAGTTACAGACCAAGGTGAGCCACCATATAGGTACTAGGAATTGAACCTAGGTCCTCTGGAAGAGCAGTCAGTGCTCTTAAGCAGTGAGC